GCGGTTTCATTTTTCTATGATTATTTTCCAGAAAAAAAGCACACTGATAGGGGGGCATGTTGTCATAAAATATCTGGATTCTCCTTTTTGTTGTCATCTAAAACTATTATAATTGGAAAAAATAATAATTCAAATAAAATAAAACAAATACTTCAATTTGAACTGAAATAAAAACAAAATAAAGCTACATGGAATTGAACAAAAAACTAGTGAGAATGTCAAAAAAGCACATACAATTACAGTGAAAACGGAAAATATAAAAAATTAACGCAAACTCAAAGTATGATATTATGCCGGGGTGTGTTGTCACCTTCTGCTGTTTATTGCAGTGTTGTTATTGTCAACAAAAATTATTAAAAATATTTTTATTTTTGGTTAATGAAATAAAATAAAATAAAGGGATTAGATTTAAAAACGAAGGTAAAGAGAGGTAAATAATTTCTAAGGTAAATAGAACTAAAAACTAACCTTTCTATGATAAATAGAAATAAAAACTAAAACATACTACTAAAACTACACAGCAACAGCTTCAGGAAAAGTATCAGAGTGATGTAAACGTCAAATATGAGGCATTCTTCTGCTATAAAGCAGCTGTAGCAGGACAATAGTGTCATTATTCAGTTGCAGTCAGTTCAGTGTTGATTCAGTTCGGCTCAAGAACTCTGTAGAGTTCATTCATTATAAAACGAGTTCAATCCAGCGATAAGCAGCTCTACTGAAGACAGTCATTATTCAGCTCGAGTCAGCTCAATATTGATTCAATCGAGGTCAATAACGGTGTCAGTGTGCAAAATTCATCAATTATGAACAAATTTGATTCAGTAGGGCTAGAACGCAGAACACAGTAATGCTGTTATCATCTCAATTCAGTTCAAGTTCTTATTCTCGTGTTCTCATAGTGTGTCAACACAGTCAAATTGAGGATTTTTCTGAATATTAAGTGAATGAACACTGTATGATATTGATGGAGATACACTGTAGTACACTCTAAAAAATGCTGGGTTAAATACAACCCAGTGCTGGGTAAAATAGGGACAAACCCAGCAATTGGGCTGTTTTGACCCAGCGGTTGGGTTACTTCCCAGAAGGCTGGGTTAAACATTTCACCCAACCGCTGGGTCAAAACAACCCAATTGCTGGGTTTGTCCCTATTTTACCCAGCACTGGGTTGTATTCAACCCAGCATTTTTTAGAGTGTAGTAGTAACTGTTAACATGTAATCTAGATTACATAATCAGATTAGATTAATTACATTTTAAAATGACTCGTAATCAGACTACAACCCCCCCAGCAGTTCCTTCACGAACTCCAGTTTGCGAAACCTTGTCATACATAATGTGATGTTTAATGCACTTCAGGTTGTTAATAACAATGAATGGAATATATTTTCTTTCTCCTTGTATTTTATATCGATGTGGTACACAACTCTCTTCTTTAAAATCAATTAGCTTAGGTCAAAAGTAATCTGAAAGTAATCAAAAGGTAGTCTGATCTGCTTTTGGCCTTGTAAGTGCGTGCTTTCACTGATGCTGCTCATATCAGTTGCCATCTGCAGTGCTGCAGTGTGTAATAACACACACATGTATTGTCTTTGTCGTTACTCAGAGAAGTTCTCTCTCCTGCTGATTACTCATCCTCTCTCCACAGAAGTACTGTTGTTCAGCGCCGTCTGCCCGTCTCCATGGCAACAGGGCCCATCCCACAGCCCTAGCCCGAGGCTCTTCACTGACACACCCCAACTGAGAGCCTTCCAGAGGTGCTCCAGTTCACTTAAAAATACAGGATCGGGTGGACAAAACAAGGATTCCTTTTTACACAGGCCTGGAAATCACAATATTGAAATTCAAACATATTTCCAGGGGTATATATATATATATATGATTGTGTAATAATACCTAATCAATCTAATAACTAATATAATACACAGTGCCCTCCACTAATATTGGCACCCTTGGTAAATAGGAGCAAAGGCGGCTGTGAAAATAAATCTGCAATGTTTATCCTTTTGATCTTTCGTTCAAAAAATGCACAAAAATTCTAACCTTTCTTTGAAGTAAAACAATTGAAAGCTGGGAGAAAATCTCATGATGAAATAAATGTGTTTCTCCAATGCACGTTGGCCACAATTATTGGCACTCCTAGAAATGATTAAGAGTAAAATATCGCTGAAGAATTTTCCCATTTATGTTTACATTGTTAATGTACACCAGAGTGACTAGGAGCATGAGATTGTCCAGCCATGACTTCCGAAGAGGACGTGTGTCTATATCGTCCTGATGCACGGTGAGGAGGAGAGTTTGAGTGGCTAAAGACTCTCTGAGGACCACAGCTGGAGAATTGCAGGGATGAAGCTTCTGCTATGGCCATCCCTGTCCTCTGAGCTGAACCCTATAGAAAATGAGTGTGGTGAACTGAAGAGGAGAAGCACCATCACGGAGCTGGGAATCTGAAGGGTCTGGAGAGATTCTAGATGAAGGAATGCTCTCTGATCTCTTGTCAGGTGTTCTCCAAACTCTTCAGGCGTTATAGGAGAAAACTCAAGAGCTGTTATCTTGGGAAAAGGATGTTGCAATAATTGGGTGAATGAAAGACCAAAAGGATAAACGATGCAGATTTATTTTCACAGCCGGGTGCCTATTAGTGGAGGGCACTGTATATTTACACACACACACACATTCTATTCTATACGTGTATTTTTATACAATTAAATTACTATATACAGCCACTGGATCTTTATGCAGATTTATTTTCACAGCCGGGTGCCTATTAGTGGAGGGCACTGTATATTTACACACACACACACACATTCTATTCTATACGTGTATTTTTATACAATTAAATTACTATATACAGCCACTAGATCTTTTTACTAAATTATTCCAGGTTTAATTAGAAATTTCTAGCCACTGAAATGTGCATTTACTAATATTTTTAATGATTTTTAAAGTTTTATACTTTACAGTAAGGTTCATTAGTTCACATTAGTTAACTACTTAAGTTAACATGAACTAAGAATGAACAATGCTTCTACAGCATTTATTAATCTTAGCTCATGTTAATTTCAACATTTACTGATGCATTATTAAATCAAAAGCTGTGTTTGTTAACATTAGTTTATGCACAGTGAACTAACAATGAACGACTGTATTTTCATTAACTAACGTTAACAAAGATGAATAAATACTGTAATAAATGTATTCAGTTTGGTCATGTTAGTTAATACATTAACTAATGGAACCTTATTGTAAAGTGTTACCGATTTTCTTAATCCTCATAAGTCTTTAAGGAATTGAAATCCCAATTTTAAAAATCCCTGATATTCTCAGGTTTCATTATTATATTATCCTTCACATTTTGACCATTGAACTACTAACTATACACTTACTGGACCAGGATTTTTAAAAGTTATTTCCGTTTTAAAAAGCAATTTCTAGCCATTGAAATTTACTAGTAATTTTCATGACATTTGAAGATTTTATTAATTAACGTAAGTTGTCAGGGACTCACAGTTCACAATTGTAAAACTGTCCAGGTCTGTTATTTTAGTGTCATTGATGTACTTTTATAGTTTTCGTTTTAATTTTAGTGAAAGTCATTAGTTTATGCAGATTTATTTTTGTCTTCAATTTAAAGCCCTGGCATCTAGATTGTTTTTTTTAATGTTGATTATAATGCTGAGTTAACATACTTTTTTTTTTTTTTTGGTTGTCGTTTTTAGTCAACAATAACAACAGTGGTCCGAATTTGTTTAGACACGTCTTCTAATGTCCATTAAAAACGGCATGTCAAAGTCAGTTTCACATCAGTTATGGCCACAGAGCCAGTTTTGTTTGAAAACACAGACGTCACATTCTCAGTTTCAGAGTTTGATAACTATAAAGTTTTTTTTCCCCCCTTCTTAACATCTCCTTTTATGTTCCAAGAAAGGTTTGGAACAACATAAGGGCGACTCTCATGCTTTGGGAACCGTTTCTTTAATAATTCCCCCGCAAGCACTCATCTAAATGAATATTTGAAGTCCAGGATCTTTCTGGAACGGCCAGGTTTGAAAAACCTTACCGAACGCAAGGCAAAAAGACCAAGAGATCATGTGGTTTGTGTTTTATCCGTTTTAATTCCACTAACATAAGATCCAGATCCCTCCGCCCACCCTCCATAACAAATAACAATAATGCTGAGTGTTCCGTATGAAAATTCTAAGACAGTTTCTAGGCAACCCAATCAGCCAACTCCAGTCACCCTGATTAACTAAAGCCACATGCAGTTTAGGCAAGTATCAAAAGAGTAAACAAAACAAACTAAAAACAGATCGAGTAAGTAGTAGTACAAATAAAACAAAACCGAAACTCCTAATAGAAAACCGTATTAATCAGATAAGCGCATGAAAAGCATTCCTCACTGCGCCGGTAACAAGACTTTTATATCAAAGTTACAGTATAAGCCATGTGTCAAGTCTTTTTGATCTTAGGTCTGGGGTCGACAGAGAGAGTTTGTACGCGTTATTATTCACCAATGAGAAATCAAACACTTCACAACTGAAGTAGAATGTCTTTGCACGAGCCCAATCTGTCACAAGTATTCGTTCATACTGACTTTCGGTTTATTTCCCATGATTCTTTAGGAAAGTGAAGAATTCAGTCTAAGCCACAAGAAACCCATCACTAACTGCTCCCCTAGTAAACTCAGAAAAGGGTTCATACTCACTCTCTCTCACACATATGCACCTACAGCAAAGTTGATGGTGACTGGCATCCCATGAGCACACATCAAGCCAGCAAACTACACTGCATTCTCCAATCCACAATGAACACATGTTGAAGACAAACAACTGCCGTTTGCCCCCCAAACAAACACACGTACACGAACACAGTCTCTCCTTCACACTCTCACATCCAAACACACACATAAATGACGGGCTGGTGAGTATGAAGCTGGAACTGGAAAAGCGTCAGCGTTGTCTCTCGCTGTGCTGACTGAAAAGCTTCTTTGTGGAGTCGGCTTTAGTTTTCCCGGCCCTCCTCTGTGTCCTCACCATCGGCCTGATTGTCAGAGGTCCACAGCTGAAAACATCAAAGCAAGGGACGTTAAAGTGTGCACATCCAGATCTGGCCACTGAAATGTCTATTTTAGTATTTTTTTTTAATATGGACCATTTAATGGGTGGAAAGGAGCATGATACATCCAGAGCTGTGCATCTTATTTGATAAAAACGGAGAAAACAACAGTTTTTTAATTACTGACAGCCGTAAGAAGAATGACTGTTACATCCCAACCTTTCTTGACTTATGTTTGAGCTCTTTATAATCAGGATCGTCTTCTGTAGGTAATATTGCATTTTCCATATTTACTTGACTTTGCATGAAAACTAGCAAAACGTGGCAAAAAAAAGGTACATCTGTTTGTAATTTGCATTTCTGTTTTTTTTTTCTTTCAGTGTCTTGCGTCATGAGCTTTGTATTTTGAAGTTACAGTGCTCATGAAATGCATTTTCAGATCTGTATATTTGATATAAATTGTCTAGAGCAGTGGTTCTCAACCCGCGGCCCGCGGGCCGCATGCGGCCCGTCACGAATTCAAATGCGGCCCACCATGCTGAACACAATTTTAAAAAATTACTTTCAGTTTTACAATTCATTTTAGTTTTTACATTAATTTAAAAATGTACTAAATAAATATAAGCTATAACCTAATGTTTTTATGTAAAATAATTTTGTTTTTCATATATTATTTTCAGACATGAGCAGTACTCACATAGCCTAATTAACGTTACGCATTTAAAGTAACGACCAAGCGGCCAGCGGCAGACAGTGAGCATATGTTTGATCAATTTAGCCTTCTCAAATCATCACGACTTGACTAAAATAAAATCTATAGATATAAAACAGTTCAAGCATATAACAATGTTTAAACGTTAAACCTAGATAAATGTGCGCTGTATCCAATATTTTGTGTGGAGAGTGGAAGCTGAAGCGCGCTCTGCAGGACATGGTGGCGCCAGCGCGATCACTCTAACCTTCTTGGCAAGTTCACAGGCCTGCTCTGGAGAGTTCAGGATCTCGTAGTAAAAGACTGAAAAGTTGAGAGCCAGGCCCAGGCGGATGGGATGAGTGGGCTGCATGTTGTCTTTGCTGATGTCAAAGGCGGCCTGGTACCCTTCCTGAGACTTCTGGATGATATCTGTGTACAAACACACCACATTATTTATGCAAGAATCATTACATACTTTCCCACAGAATAGCACAGATTAAGGCTGACAATATACACTACTGTTAAAAAGCTTGGGGTCAGCAAGCTGTTGTTGTTGAAAGAAATGAATACTTCTATTCAGAAAGGATGCATTAAATTGGTCAATAGAGACAGTAAAGATTTCGGTTTCAAATAAATTGATCCTTTGAACTTTCTATTCATCAAAGAACCCTATAAAATAAAAATTAATGTATCCCAGTTTTCACAAAAATATGAAACAACACAACTGTTTTCAACATTGGTAGTAATTATACTTTTTTGCATCCTTACTGAATAAAAGGTCAAGAAGATTAAAAAAAAAAAAAAAAAAAATCTTACCGACCCCAATCTTTCGAACAGTTGAGCACATAAAACATTTACAATATTTTATTGAGCATTTGCAATAAAATATTAAATTCAAGGAATCTGATCTTAATGTGCTTTTATATGGCCAGTTAAGTGTCCTAAAGCCTTCACACCCCTCCTGCCTTGTGTATGACCAATTCAGCATTTTGTTTGAGTCACTCAAGTTTTGCGAGGCGTGTTACATAAATGAAGAAATATTGCTCCTCACGATTATTTTGAGAAAACTGCCTGTGGAAAATATGCTTTTACTTGAACTAGATTTTTATGCTTTTAAATCCGACATTAAACACTTAAAATTTATGCCTTATGATGGTTACTGCAGTGGAAAAAATGAAAATAAACACATCTTCAAAGCCATTTCAAAACATGCATTTTACGTTTTTTTCTTCTGCGCATGGCTGAAATGAGATATAATTTTCTTTGTACTTTGGAGAGCTGTTAGTAATGGTCAATATCATGGTGCATCAAGAGCATTGATCCGTGCTCAGAGAGAAACACATAAATATTTGAAAAAGACAGCAGCTCTGTAAAGAGCGTTTGATGAGAGCACTGTGCCTGATGAGCAGTAATTGTTCATCTGAAGAGCTTCAGGAGTGCTGCATATATTACAGCCACCCGCAGGAGCTTCAGCCCAAACTCAGCAGGATGACACGCATCATCCAGATGCTGTTGCCATGGCGATGATCACGCAGCCCATCACACTGAGTACAGTAGTAGGTCAGCGGCTGCTTATCGTTTTCGTTTCCCCTTCGACGAAACCTGCAGCTTATCTATAATACTACACAAACAGACTGATCTGGGATCTGCGGCAGATGGCAGCTTCAGTCAGATCATTCTCCTGCTCCTGTGCTACCATAGAAACACACCAGGCACTTAAAAATTCATCAAACCCTGCAGGGAGAAGCAGCAGCCCTAATAACCTCATGCATCTATCGGAAAGAGTGAGTTATTACTTCCACAGACGGACTAAGACCACATGTGGAGGGAAATCACTCATTAGCCTCATTAATGAAACCAAGCGAGGTGGAGCAGGACAGACTGAACTGCGTGCTGCAGTGCTCCATCTGCAGCCGAGATGTCCACTTGTGATGAGACAAAGACTGGATGGTGGAAAATAAAACCACAACATTTGCATTGTGCTCACTGGAAGCACACAAAACACAACCAAACAGGGCTGGGCCATTTTTCAGATTTTATCGATTAATTCAAATTGAATGTTTTGCCACGATTTTATTATCTATAAATCGAGGAATCACGATTTCAAATAGAAATATTGCCAAACGTTAGAATTAGACACTTTGACAATATGCCAATGCTACGGTCCAATGATCCAACCGCTCACGTGTGACACGCTCGTATCACACAGAATGCGCTTTTGTGTTGACAAAGATGCGACGCGGGCAGTGGAATAGGAAAAAATTGCAAGATGAGAGTGAACTTCTTTAAACTTGAGCGGCATGTTTTTAGAATGCCGTTTCATGCATGAGACGCTGCAAGAGACAAACGCGTCCATGTTTACATAGAAAAAAAATATGTAAAAGCAGCGCAATCGAATAAAAAAACCTGTAAAAAACTACTACTGTATGTCTGACAGGCTCAAAGCTGCTGTTCATTCATATTTACTGTTAATAATAGTCTATTGGTGTTATACCTTCAGTCATTTAGAATTTGAATTACCTTGACTTTTGAGAATCTTTTAAAGCATTTTCCTCGTAAATTTCTGAACATAAAATACGTATTAGACAAGTTTGTACAAGATGTAGTTGTAGTTCATGCATCTTTTCTGTTTCCATCATACAGTCTATGGTTTCCATGTGTCCGGCGCGACGAGACAAAACCAATAAAACCCATTACAAACGAGGCATTTGTTGCATCCAGTGGGGACATAATTACGGATTATAATGACTTATACTGTCTTTTTACGCGTTGAGTATCGCGCGGCGTAAACATAAAACCATGTCTGCATTTGTGATCGGAGAAATGACAAACAACAAGCGCTACTCTACACTGCTCAAAACTCGTGTTTTAATCATCAGTGGCAAATTCTTTAAATATGAAAACGTACTTAGTCTGTGAGCATTGTAGTTTACTCTACCAGGATCAGGAAACAGTCCTCCATAAAATGTGCTGCACACATCTGATGGGTCATATGATGAAATCGCATCATATGACCCCTTTAAGAAAAAGTTACTTGAATCATGTTGTAGTTAAATTTTCAAGTTGACTAGTTAAAATTCATAAAACAAATTTTAAAAAACATTCGGGGGAGAAAAAAAAATCGAGATTTTATTTTTTTGCCATATCACCCAGCCCTACAACCAGATCATTTGATTGGCTTGGTTCTTTGTAATAAAGCAGAGATATGAGCTACGGTGAGGATATTACATGCGGGCATGAAACCGGAACACTGGACGTCCTTAAATTAATCTGCAAGCTGCTTGTGTCTCAAGAGCTTCATGAACTAGGACACAAGCCCTTCAGATCTAAACCTCCATCCTCATCTCCAGATATATAATTAATGAAAACTCTGAGTCTGTGGCTACTTAATGAGATTTCTAACTCTATTAAGAGGGTTAATTGATTGACCTCTTGAGTTAAGAAGTGCCAAACACAGTCAGGTGGTGCTTTTAGGAAACTCTTGCTCTTTTCCAAACCCTAGCACTGCTGCTCGCTATTCTAATGGGTGCACAAAGATAAAGAGCATTTTTAATAAGATGGAGCTATATTCAATCAATTCTTTGAAGGACTTGATAAAGTATTTATGAAGGAGATTTCCCCTGATGCTTATGGCAATGCATTCTGAGTTTGTCTTCTCCATAAGATGCTGCCATATGTTGGCTAAAACGAGGTGGTGTGTTTAAGGCAGCATCATTCTGCCGCATACTGTTTGGATCAGTGTTTGTGTTGGCGTGCGTGAGATGCTTCTAGGTAGGCAGCAAGAGTGTTTGGAGCAGGGCCAGTATACTAGTTCAAGGACAAACAAATGAGTAAAACAACATTAAAATCACCACAAGAGTTATATTTGCAGTTATGTAAGATTATTCATGTGGACATTATTGCTCTGTTCCAAAACCTAGTGGGCGGTCAATCTGCCCAGCATTTCAAGCATTACTGGCATGCTTTTTAAAATATGCATTAACATGATGCTCATTTAGACAAATTCTGAGACATAAACGGTAAAAAAAATAAATAAAATTGACAAAGTTAATTATATGCATTTGATTCGACACTGAAAAGTATTTAGTAATTTACGCAACACTGTGTGCCATATATTTTATGCTGCATTGTTTATGCTTGGAAATGTAAGACTATGTTTTGCGGAAGTACTTTTGACTTAAAGTAATAATAATAATAATACACTATATTATTAAATATCATTAAATCTTTTTTAATGCATATCACAATTTTTCTTCTCCACTTTAATTTTAACAGTAAACCTCTGTTGTGCTGCACCTTTTCGGCAAAAAATAAAAAGAACTGTTAAATTTTCATTTAATTACATTTTCAAATATTTATTAAATTGTTAATGTTTTATGCCATCATTTGATTACCACAGAAAATTTTGTTGTATTGAACCATAAATCCAAAAATTTAGACTTTCCAAAATAAATAAATAAATAAAAATAATAATATTAGACATGCTTTTTGATCATTACAATTTAATTACACCATTAAAATAGAATCCACATAGAATTTGGTGAATAAATAAAACATTTAAAGGATCCTAAAAATGTATTTTTTGTTGAACCTATTGTTAAAATTGTTGCTAATCTTTTAAACATTTCATGATTAATTAATTAGACATACTTTTCAGTTATCAAAATTTTATTTAACCATTAAAACAATGAAGAGAGAGAGAAAAAATATATTTAGGGAAAAATAAAACAGACTTTGGGGGGAAAGAAAACTGATTTAACAGGACCCTAGCGATGTATAGCTGCAGGTGTGGCTTACATTCTGAACCATAAACCATTTCTGTTTTAAAAGAGAATTTGTGCAACATTCCCTCAATAATCAGCCATTAAGGGTGTGGAAGCACAAGTAAAGACCTGTTCCACTGGTAGCTATCAAACCAAAAAAATCTGCATGTGTGTGATGGAGGTGTGGCTGCACAGCAGGCAGCAGACACATGCAAAGCCTCAAACTCAGAGACACCATGCTGAACATCAAAGACCATCTAATATAGAGATCGGTTTCTCAAATCAAAATAAAGGATATTAAGAAAAGACAAATAAATCTCATATAAATGTTGTTTAGGAGAAGCTCACCGGCTTTCTCGTCTCCTGTGGCGACCTCAGCCAGGTAGCGGTAATAGTCTCCCTTCATCTTCAGGTAGAACACCTGGCTCTCTGCTGGAGAAGTGCTGCGGATCAGAAACTTGTCCAGGAGATGCTGCGGAAGAGAGACACATGAATGTAAACACACACAGCCCAAAATAGTAATAGTAATGTTTCTCACACGCTACTGTATGAGAAAAGCCCACAAATTTCCATGACTTTTCTATAAAGATTTCCATTTTTATGGAAACACATCAAACCTCATAACTGCTCAGATAACTTGATGGCAAACACCGGCCAATCAAGGTTTGTTCTACACTTTCTGTATCATTTCTTGCTGAACAAGTGACTGGCCTGTGGGGCTGTCAAAAAAAAAAAAAAAAACGAATTTCGAATATTCGTCGAATTTAAAATAAAAATCCACATTCGAATGCAAAAATGTTGCATTCGAATTTTAGGTGTGCGTTAAAGGAACACTCCACTATTTTTGAAAATAGGCTCATTTTCCAACTCTCCTAGAGTTAAACAGTTGAGTTTTACCATTTTCGAATCCATTCAGCCGATCTCCGGGTCTGGCGGTAGCACTTTTAGCTGTAGCTTAGCATAGATCATTGAATCTGATTAGACCATTAGCATCTTGCTCAAAAATGACCAAAACGTTTTTATACTTTTCCTATTTAAAACTTGACTCTTCTGTAGTTACATCGTGTACTAAGACCGACGGAAAATGAAAAGTTGCGATTTTCTAGGCCGATATGGCTAGGAACTATACTCTCATTCCGGCGTAATAATCAAGGAACTTTGCTGCGGTACCATGAGTGCAGCAGGCGCAATGATATTACGCAGCGCCTGAAAATAGGCTAACTTCCGTCAACATAACCAACATGATCACCTGCTTGCACAGGGAGCGTGCTGGGGACTATTTTCAGGCAAATAGTGGAGTGTTCCTTTAAGGAGGCAGCCTTACCAGTGGCGCACGAGATGCGATGACGATATAACTGTCGTTGCATTATAATGTTTTTGTTAGGCTATACAGTTAAAGCCACTAGATGCGACGCTGCTGCGTTAATTACAAATATTGCGGGAAAAGAGAACATCAATGCGGAGAAGATCTTGTTTACATCAAAACTGAAACCAAGCCGTTCACACAGAACACATATTTCACGCATTTTCTAGAGGGACATCTATCACCGTTGCACTCGTGTCTCGCACAAAAGAGCCGCATGTTTAGAAAGCCATGTAAAGTTAATGAAAGTTTAACTTTTCTTCACCCTAACTGAAATTATGCATTTTAAATTCGAATATAATTCGAATTTTGATAATATTTAAGTACAAAATTCGAATTGAGTTTTTCAGCCATTTTGACAGCCCTACTGGCCTGAAGTATATTCACAGAGAATATTTTTTCTTTATAAATTGATTCATAACCAACATTTATGTACAGTTTTACTCCCTTGTCTTTCATCCTTGTTTTATGGCAGTCTTTTAAATATTGCTGGACTTTCTTCAAGCATACATTCACACTTGATGTGAATAGCTTTTCATTTTGCAATTCACTCCGTTTCATTTCATTTTGATGTGAATAGTCATTTCTCTCTTGTCAACTTAATTTGGTGTGGAACATCAGGACTACTGGCGAATGCACTTCAGACCTCATGACTTTAACATGGTGCTTTCTTGCATGATCTTATGGGCTTGACATGTTGTTCATGTCAAAAGTTGTTGAGAGGATGTAAGATGTAACATCCAGCTGGTTCTTTCTTTGCAGGAGCCTACTTCAACCCATTAACCTCCAAATGCCAGATTAAACATTACATTCTTCTGGATTCAGTCTAAATAACATCTGGAAAATGTAAGGAATGTCATAAACACAAAGCATAACATTCCATGTGCCACCGTTTAAGACGTCTCCGGCAGCAATCCAACTCAAACGGCCCAGTACAAGGAGAGGCAATGGCCCTGTCTGATTCATTAAAGCCTTATACAGTTGCACACAGTAAGTCTCACCTCTAGTTTCCTGGAAGAAAAAAACTCTGTACCCAAAACCACTCCAGAGGAAGAGCCGATTCGGTGATCGTTCAAACAAAGGACTCCCATTGTTTTGCTTATCTAGATACAGTTTTGGGCAAAACCAATGACCTCTAGCTACTGACTGGCTGAAGTCCTGCGACAATATCTTACAAGAGGACAGCGCTTCAGTAATTATGAAAATCAGTTGGTTCCAGATTTTGTACAAATTGGAACTAGTTCTGAATGAGAACCAGGGGCCGGATTCATGAAAATTAACTAAAAAAAGAGAAAGAAATTAAGAAATTTCTTAAAGTCACAATGAAATCTAAATTGACAATTCTTATTCTTTCTTATTAATCAAATATCGCAGTGTTTATTTGAAATTAATTATCTGGGTTTTTTTTCTTTAATTTTTTTTAATTCATGTGCCTTTGTAATCTTGAATAAAAATAACTTCCTATTCTTCTTGATACAGCATCTTTTCTCTGATGACATGTTCACCAGCACGAGGGCGGGACAACCTGTCAATCACATGAGATCATAGCAATAGCAAAAGCCAATGATCCAATCAATTCCCGATGGACAAAAATCAAGTCCTGCCCAACATTTCTGTCTCATTCAAGAAGCTCTTTCACTCATATATACAGTATCTCACAGAAGTGAGTACATCCCTCACATTTTTTTCAATATTCGGCAGTGCTGGAAAATAATGGTGGCCGCACAAAATATTGACACTTTGGGGCCAATTTGGACATTTTCACTAAGGGGTGTATTCACTTTTGTGGCCAGCGGTTTAGACATTAATGGCTGTGTGTTGAGTTATTTTGAGGGGACAGCAAATTTACACTGTTATACAAGCTGTACACACTACTTTACATTGTAGCAAAGTGTCATTTCTTCAGTGTTGTCACATGAAAAGATAATAAAATATTTACAAAAATGTGAGGGGTGTACTCACTTCTCTGAGATACTGTACGGCACAATAGAGAAGAAAAGACGATTGCAACTTTTGTTTCATGCCGAAATAAATCAATTCCAAAAAGTTCGTACAAATGTTCCTAAGTGCAACTCTTAAATTCCTAAGAATTTCTCATATTAAAAATATCGTATTTTTTTCTGACTGTACAGCGATTCGACTTGATTGACTTGCTGATCAACTCGATGAAAAACCCTTCAAAGGCCAAAAATAATAAGAAAATAACAGTTAAGAAGAATTTTATTCTTAAGAACGTTTCATGAATCTGGCTCCAGCTCTTTATTCCTGACCCTAGCTCTGGGTAAAAACAAAAATAAACACCTTGCTGACAGGACATTATTCACCATATCCCATTTAAAACGTCAAGCTCTGCCATAGTTGTGATCCCTATCAGCGGCTCTTTCCCTTTCCAAGCTCACCAGAACGTCTTTGCAGATGGTCTTCAGCTCAGACTCAATCTTCTCACGGTACTCTTTAGCCATCTGCTGTTTGTCACTGCCCTCGGTCTTCTGCTCGATGCTGGACACCACCCTCCAGGCGGACCGGCGGGCACCCACAACATTCTTGTAGGCCACAGAGAGCAGGTTTCTCTCCTCGTCGATCAGCTCCTCTCCAAGCTCAGTCACTTTCTTCATGGAGTCGGCCATGTCATCGTAGCGCTCAGCCTGCTCCGCCAGTTTGGCCCTCTGCACATGTTGGCTCTTGTCCATGGCTGCTAGGTTCTACAGGAGAGACAAAATTTCACTTACATCATCTCAGAAAGATGAATTAATATGCAAATTTATAATCTGTGGTGTACTAAATGCTTTGCTAATTGGAGATCTCAATTAGACTAATTATACATTAAATCTAGCTAAAGATCAATCAAATAGAAGCAAAAATGTGCTGAAAACATATAGAAAACCCATATGTTGAATCTGTAATGGTTTTTGAGCTAAAGTAAGAGATGACCACTCAAATCTGATCTAAATAGATTTACAGAGTTGAATAGATTTCCCCAGTGCATAACTTATATCTCACTACTAGGGGTGTGACGAGACACTTATTCACGAGAACGAGACGAGATTTTTAGACTTTTTTAAAGAAATCCTCAATGATGAAATATATAGGGAAAAATAGTCTTATTCAACTGAAAAACACAAAATGCAAAAAAGTAGGTGCATTTTGAAATCAACGTGTACTTTATTAAATTAAACATCTATTTTAATAAATGGTATGCAGTAATAAACAACATGTAAACACTGCAAAATGTTTTGCCACAAACTCAACTGACAGGCAAGTAATTGCACAAAAATTATAAATAGTATAAATAAAAATAAATAATAAACAACAAATATCCCTTTAAAGTGGAAGTGAAGCAGTCAGTCAAGTTTACATTATTTAGTAAACTGAATTCCACTTATATAAAAAATATATATAATAAACACAATTAATGGATCCGTTTTAAAGAATAAAGTAGTGGTTCCCAAACTGGGCAGCGCAGCAAGGCTGAGGGATAGTGTACAGTCTTCTTTTGCAAAAGAAGCCTCTGCAGGGTGATAAAGAATACACTGTTTATTTATATTTTTTATTGTTACCAAATTCTGTGTTTTAGCATGTCTAATTATTTGAATGCATAAAACAACTTAATTTATTCATTTTTTTTCCCTCAGAAATTCTGTGTTGTGTCAAATCAAACGCTAAAATGCTCATAAAGTGACTCTCAGAGCAGTTCTGGAGATGTTGTTCATGTGTTTACGTCCTCATTTAGTGAGACGGCAGACGCTGAAATCACCGCGAGTGTCAGGCGGCTTCAGTGTGTGTGTAGTAAATGAAACCGCACGTCTGCGCCATTCATTAACAGAGACAGGCAGAACATGCAGGATTCATATTTAAATCGACTTTTGCGGCTTAATATTTACAGATACTAGTCCAAATCGTGATTTGATTTAAGTGTAATTACCTACTTTTGATTAATTCATTCAAAATGTCAAATTCCGTGACATTCCGCGTTAAACTGTGAATTCTGTTTTTATGACTGGATAAAGACTACACTGCGTAATTTTCCCGCTTATCATGCGGCCACTTGCCTGATGTGAACATAAAATATCTTACATACCACCACTTGTTAACGAGCCAGTGTAATGCAAATATATCTGAAAGGTCTGCGCGTCGTGCGCGAGGATATCGTCACGTTCTCGCGAGACCAGTCAGATCTCGCGAGACACATCGGATCTCGCGAGATCTCGTGCCACCCCTACTCACTACAGTTACAGCCGCATCTGTAAATGTTAGAAAGTCACACAAAGATTTGTTTTGCATAAAGGCTTGTCCTGAGAGCAAGCGAGTCTCTGTTAAACTTCACTAAATGAGTGCCGGAGCTGAGTGCATGTCAAACAGATGGAGTACAACAAAATAAGAGGGCAAAGTTCACAAAATAATGATCTTTAAAAAAGCATCATATGACCTCTTTAAATGTTTTATTGGATGTATTAAATGTAGGTTTGAAGTACTAGGCCTTCATATAACACTAAAGGCCCTTTCAAACGGTACGCGGCAGTCGCGAGTGTCTAGTTCATTCTCAATGGGAGACATGCGGAAAGCGGCAAAACGCGGGCGGTTACAACCAAACAGTGAACAGATTACTAACAACCAATCATAGAACATTTAACTGAACTGCCTATTGGAAAAATAGAGGAGAAGATTGTTTTAAGTGTAACAGATTTCCCAGAACTGTATGATGACCCATCTAAAATATCATACAGAGACATAAATAAAATTATATTTTATAATTTTTACATCAATTTTTACCTCACAGGTCAAATTTGACCTAAAAAAAAAAACAACTCAAATGTTTACTTCAATCGTGACCTCACAGGTATGCTCTTTAGGCAAATCATCGAAAACAACTTAACTTGTGCCAAACGGAAAAAAAGGAAAATAATGACAACAATTAATGGCAGAATGACACAAACACAAATTTCCGTTATGTTTTATTTAGTTTTTAGTAAATACAAAGGTGATGTTGACAATTGTAACTATGGCAACGTCCACTCTGAGACCGCAACGCGACCACCGCCTCAACTACACAAAACGCTTCCACTACAAGAGAAAGCGGCAGCCGCGCGGCGATTCCACCGCTTGCCGCGTCCCGTGTGAAAGGGCCTTAAGATTTTTACTTTATTAAAGCTATAAATGTTAATGGACTGTTGTAATGGGGTATAAACTTAAATGTATATTTATTTTCATAGGCTTCAATTTACACATTGTTTGGAAGACAATATTTGGCCAGATGAAACAACTAAAAATAACGAATAATGAAAATGAATCATTTTAATCCAATTACTCAAAGATTAATCGATTAGCAAAACAGTGATTAGTTGCAGTCCTACTGTAAATGTGGTAAAATGGCTCCACTTTCTCAACTCCCACTGGCAGTAGCCACAATGCATCACTGTTCATCCGCATAAAGTTAAACTCAACTTTATTGATTATATAGCAATATAGCTAAAATAACTGGTTAAGTATTTAAAATATTATTATTTTTTAAAACACATTAAAGGTCTGTTCACACCAAGAACCATAACGATAAAGATAACTATACTAAAAAATTGCTTTGAAAAAATAACTCAATATAGTTACCAGCAATATTGTTCCTCCATGCCATTATCGTTACAGTTGTGGACTTCCCTAAACTCATGGAATTAAAACGATTATTAAACTTTATAATTATGATTATTACAAACATTATAGTTAGCATTATGGCTATCCTTGCTGCAAACACGTCTTTAATGATAGCTATAAAGATAACTATTTTAGAGTCCACACCAATGGACACTAACATTCTGTTTATTTTAAGCGCACTGCAGTTTTGTTGTCTGCCACTTCAAATGCTCGAGATCTCCAAAGTCTGGTGGATTCTGTGATTCAGTGTATTTCTCATTCATCAGCTGGAAAAAAAACAACAACTACCGTATTGTCCCGAATATAAGACGATATTTTTTTCTTGGAAATACATCTGAAAAAACGCGGTCGTCTTATATTCAGGGTCTAGACTTTGACATGTCAATAATACACCCACAACACTAGGTGGCGCCAAATACGCTTAAATGAGTGTGCCTGAAATACGTAATGTAATGCGTGTTGTAAAGATCGCCAGTAAACACAAAAGAAGCAGAAAACCTTACAGCTGCATGAGTCGTGACTGTCACATTAGCCTGATGGGACCAAA